AGGGCCTGGCCCCGGGCCGCGCACGCAGCGGCGGAACAGCCGCCCCTCGCGGCTGGTGCCCTGGTCCCCGTTCCGCACCCTGTGGGAGGGGGACCCCAGCGCGGCTCCCAGGGCAGCCCCTCAGCCGAACAACAGCCTCACTTGGTTTTTGTCACGAGCAACCGCGTTTCGCCGCGGCCGCCGGCTGCACTGGTGGAAATCACGGCGTCTCGCGGGTCCTCCTGGCAGAGCCCGCTGCCGGGCCTGTCCCTGTCTGCGTGGGGATTCCACACAACCAGGTCTATGGAGAGCTGGGGGGCCGCTGAGAACCATCGCCTGGGACACGGCCACGGCCCACCCCTTCCCCTCCTCTTCCCTTCTGCACCCAAAAAGATGGGATTCCTTTTTTTTTTTTTGTCATTGTTTTTGTTGCTTTCATGAATTTGGTTTGGCTCTTTTGAAGAAAATACCCACCACCCCCACCCCCCCATTGCTTGTTTTTGCTATAGGCTTCCATAAAATACTTTGGTGTGAGACCCACTGCATTTAATATCTTGAGGCATGGGGAGACTAATCCTGTGAACCGTAGAACTGCTCCTCAAGACGAGTTAAATGGGGGGAAGGATATTTAAAAACATCAGGGTTCATGCTGTCAACTTTTGGTACTGTGAGGTAAATGCAGGTCTGCCAGCTGTTACAGATTGCAGGGGATAATCAGAGCACAATAAACATACTTTGGGATGCTGCCACAAGTTGACTTTAATAGCTTTAATTAAAAAAAAAAAACCAAACCACTTCTCAAGCAAAAAAGCAGTACCTCTTTGCTTGGTTTGCTTTTCTCCAAGTAGATTAATAACATGAACAAAATACCTGCATGTGGGCCTGGAATGAAACAGGTGAATACTCAAGCACTTTATAGGTAACAGCAAAAACATTTTTAGACTTAAGTGCAAATCTCATATACTGAAAAATCGGATTATAACTTGTATGAGAGCCTGACAGAGAAACATTTTCCAGACGTTTCTCACCAAAACTCAGAGTTTTCAGAAAGACTTTAAAGCTTCCTTTTAAAGAAGACTGAAGATTTTAGGTCTTAAGAACCAATTAAAATTTGTCAGTCTTCCCTAGTGTTTTACACGGTTTTTGTACAATTTGGTCCTTTCACTGGAAAGCTTAAAGTTCAGAGCTTCTATTGAATTCTACATGCAACAGAGGATCTTGCTGACAGGGAAAATCCATAATGGGTTAGAGTACAGTAGAGCTGGACACTTCAAACTGCAAACAGAGTGTGAACAAGAAAGGGCACAGTAACTCTACATAGATCAGATGTGGTTTGCACTCAAAAATTTATGTTAAGTATATTTACCAGCTGCACTCTTCAATAGATGCTGAAATATTTCATTTTTAAAAAAAATCTTTAAAGATTCAAAAAGTCAATACTCTTATCTTGCCAAAGTTTCCTGCTTTCTAGAAAGCCAGAACACATTTAGCAGGAAGGGGAGGACAGGGGATGACACAACAGAATAATTTGCTTTAAAAACATTAAAAGTCAATCTAAAAAGTCTATTACATCTAACATACATCTTCCACTCCAGTTCATGTAGAATTCAACAACTGAATACCATGTTCAAATTTCCTGGGAGACTTTTCAAGTTCATAACACAATTTATAATTAAAATACTTTATTTGCATTGTAGTCTTCTAATCATGAGGCATGCTTAAGATATTTAGGACTGCAGATCCAGGACCCTTAAAGACACTCAGCTATCTTCAGTAATCTAGCTGATGGTTCACAGCTACTTGAGATAACCTGAGGGTTACACCAAACACTTTCAGTTTTCCAGCACACTGTACCACAGTTCTCTTTGGCAGGTGTTCTGACAAATGACAGGCATAGAGATACAGGAGCAGCATTAGGAGGGCCCAACTAATAACTTAGTAAACAGGATATCGTCCTCTGGAAAAAAAAAACCAGGATGTTAATAGCATCAACCCACCACTATAAAGCCATTAATCAGAACTGTGGAGAGCATTAATTTTGCCATTTTCTATCTCTTGAATACTTGCACACATTTAGAGAGAACTGCTGACAGCAGAGGAACCAAGATGACTCCCAGAATGTGGAAGCAATTTAAAGACGGAAGTCTTGACCTTAAAGCGCTTCACTGCTATGTAACTCACACTCTCCGATTCCTTTCCCTCGGGGCTCCCTGTCCAGTTCCCTCATCTCTCGGGACACTTTCTTCTCCACAGTGCCTGTGCTTTAGAGGAGTACAAGCACCCAGGAGCCACCTCTGCTCTCAGGGGCAGCACAGTCCTGACAAGTCCTCCTCTGCCTGGGTTCCGAAACCTCAGCACCAGCAGAACTTGAATGTAAGACTAATGAGTCTAATGACAAATGCTATAGTTCTTGAAAACACTGTCATTTTCATGACTTCAGGAAATTCTGTCATCCTCACAGCCTTTTAGACCAAAGGAGCATAATTTCTTTGTTAATAATTCAAGGCAAACTAGAACAGTAAAAAGAAAACTTCCAAGAGGATCTATATTCTGGCAACTCCTGTTCTCCCTCAGCTGAAGCTTATGAAGGTAGTTTGGAAGGTGCTGAATTCCAGTTGTTAAGAATTCGGCAAATTACACACTACTGAGAGGTGAAAACTTAAGGCTAATGATAATGGTAGGTGCTATTGTCTCAAGCAACTTAGAAACATCAACCATCTTATGTGAAAAACACAGCCTTAATTAGTAAGAATTGAGAGTGATGATTTCCACATTTAGGAAGCTGTTCATCCTAACTACTTACATGTTAATTTCAAGACATGGTTCTCAAGTTTTAAGAAACAGTACACAAGGAAGTTTTTAAGAACAGAGATGCAGTCTTCCATGATTCCCATAAAACTGTCTTGCTTCAAATTAAGAGACTTGGTTCCCTATCAAAACTGTAATTAAAAGCCAATACTGGACAATACACATTGTTTTGCTTAAGACCATGAAGCTTTTCTATGGCATAAATATCACCAGATAGAGTAATCTTCACTCTTCTATTGCTGTTTTGTTATCATAGGAATTCTGTTTTCAAATTTAGTTCATAGAGTTATTGCATATGCTACTTAGTATTAAAAGTTCAGTATAAAACAAGAGAAAAGCAGTAAAATCAAATCAGTCTGCTAAATCACACATCCCCTCACTTTGACTTGATTTTTAGAGTTCTGTTCTTGTTAAACAAGCACGGTGGATCTTGTATAGCAGTACAGCTGAAGAAATGCAGTATACGCCAATAACCAAAATCAACTGATTATACATGAGCTTTAAATCCTTTGACAAAGTTCTTTGTTGGAGAAGTCTGCTTCTGACTTAGATGTTTAATCCAGATAAATCTTGTTCCCTGCGAGAGGTACATACAGCCTCTTCAGCTTAAGAATATAACATGAATAAGATCAAATAACATTAAAAGCACGAGTAGTCCACCAGTTCTCACCACCTTCCCATAAAAAGGTACAGAGAGAATTTATGTATACATCATATGAAGTATTACTCTGTTTTATCTTCATCCTCTGCAGCATAGATAGCTTGATTCCTTCTCTTAATTTTTTTAATGCCACTGTTTCCATTTTCACTACCACCAATGCGCTTTAAGGGTCTGTCATTTAAGCTCTTCTCTTCCACCTGCTTACTCACACCAGATTTCTCCAGTTCCTCATTAGTGGAATCCATAGCATCGTCAGATGATACCGCCATGGAATCTGGCATGATCCGGATGTCAGAGAAGCTTGCAGAAAAGTCAGGGGGATGATCAGGGGAAGGATCTACAGAACATGTACTCAGGTCTTCATCACCACCTTCTTCATCCAGCATTATTTCATCTGGATTAATGGATGAAAGTCCAGAATTATCTGTATTATACTCACTGGGTTCCTCTGCTGACCCAGTACTGTCCATCTCCTCTTCCTCCTCCTCCTCTTCATACTCGCCTCGTACTGAGCCCTCTTCTTTAGCCTGCTGGATCCTGTCATTGATATCAGTGAGGCCAAACTGGGCACAAAACTCAGTGGTCTGTGGATTGATGGTATGAACTGGTTCCATGTGCTTTTGGGGCTTGCTGGGATCATAACAAGCAGCTGTCAATGTGAAGTTACAAGGAATTTTGAGATTATGATTCAGCTCTTCTAACACTTCTTTGATGGCTTCTTCTGTTGCACTGTAATCCCACCTAAAATGTATAAAGTTAAAACAAATGCAGCTAGTCAAAAGGTATTTCCTGTTCCCACTGCAAAACAACTTTTAAAGGTGGGTAGATAATAAAGTCATCTTACAACAGACTAATTTTTCAAATGGTTTTTCAGGAAAATATATTGCCTTTGGACAATACTGAGATTCCCTTCTCCCCACCAAGGATTTGTCTGTGATGTCAACCCACTCAGTAAGCCTTCACCCACCCACCCCCATAATCCAGCCTCATTTTCAGCCTCGCAGTGTAACTGCAAGAAGATCAGCCACCATGTATTTTTTGCCCCACCAAACTGTGGTGTAAGTCTGCAGAAAAAAAACTAACTGCCCCTGCAGAGCAGTAAAGAAATTGTATGCTCTAGAGTAGAGCCTTGTCACCATCCCCTTTGTTTTCCAAGGCATTCAGCAAATCCTACAGGCATTATAGGCTGCAGAACAGAGAAACACAACTCTAAGATAAGTTTACTTCCTGTCCAGCAAAACCACGCTTTCCACTCTACTTTGCATGCAACTCACTTTGCATGGAGGCCATTCTTTTCAGGCATGTTCCATGCGCTCTGAGTCACATTAACAAGACTGTTGGTGGCCTTGAGAACTGCAATCCACTCAGCATCATACTCCAGCGAGTCACCCGCGCTAGGATCATGCTCTATGTCTATTATCTGTTTAAAAAAAAAAACAAAACAACAAACAGAAAACAGATGAGGTGAGCTATCTCCCTTGACATCAGAAGAGGATTAAAAGTTTGAAGTGTTACTTGCATGGTACAGTGTTTCAGTTAATTTTCAAGTATACTGAGCTACTGGTCTCAAATAAGTCCTCTCAAGTTAGCCCTACATAAAAGTTTATAGCAATAAAGGAGTAAGAAAGGACAATCAGCAAAGGTAAAAAAGGCATTTCTGTATTTTAGCTTACAGCAATTGAAAAGCAGAACACTCTCCTCCCTACTGCCAGCTACTGGACAGTTATGCAACTTGGAAACCAAAATTTGCCTGCTCAAGTTCATGCCACCTTCTAAGCAAAAATACATGAAGAATTGCTAGCAACGGTTGTTCTGCTGTATAAACACACATTCCTAGCACAGCAATGAAGTTACCATTAAATGTTTTTAAAATCTTTCCACAGCTGACAAACTGAAATCCAAATCACTTCATATTCAGTCACATTAACCCAAATCAAACTGGGTTTAGCCAAATGGCACTAGTCAGGCTCCGAGTTTAAATTATCCATAAAGTAAGACTAATTTTCAATGTAGTTTTAAGGGAAGAAAATTTAAAAGGATAAACCAGAGCTACACACAGGTGGATCACCACCCTGCTGGAGGTAGTACTACTCCAGAAAGTTTTGCTACAGGATTTTAAGTCTGGGCAAGCATCCCAGTGTACTTTTGCAAAGCAAAAGCCCATCCTCATACTCTCTCCCATCTTCAAAGGTAGCTACTAGGGCAAATGGATCCCACCACACATCCAAAGGACAGATAATGAACCATCTTCCCTTTAAGTTCACAAATAAAAGCTACACTAAAGTGAGACTGCTAAAACTCTTGACTGCATTTGAAAAACATGCTGTCAGCAGCTCCCTCTCATAGCAAAGAATTTTAGATTCATCCATTTCAGATTTTACAGGTGGCACCCCAAGCAGTATACACAGGCCACAGGCGTGAACATTGTTTTGCTCTTGGCAATTTAGTTTGGCACTCATACTGAAAATTCCCACAACCTAGACCTCCTACTTGTCCACTGCCCTTTCTGGTCAAGATATGCACCAAACAAAAAGAAGCAGAGCCATTCTCCCAGAAGTCACATCAACTCCTGCTGGAATTCACAATACTGTAAGGAAATTACAGTACTCAACTTAGGACTCGGTCCTCTCTGAATTCATTAATCCAGATCTAAAGAAAGAGGCACTGGCTGACCCAAACTAAACTGTGAAAGGAGCTTCAAGATGGACTTTCCTCTTAGGTTTCACATTTGACAAAAAAAAACAAAACAAAACAAACAAATTAACCACAAGAGGAGATTCGATTAAGGTTAAAGTAGAGCTACTCCTCCTATTAAGTCAAGTACTTGTTCCAAGGTGCCTATGTGGCAGGACGCAAGGTCTGCTTATTTCAAGACAGTATTATACAAAGACCATTCCACACATATACCATTCCTAGATTCTTTCCAATTCCTCCATTTGTCAGAACTATTCTTCAGCTTGTATCTAGGCACAAAACTTAGCAGTCCAGACAAGTGAAGTACTTAAAAAGTGAAAACCCACTGCACATGGTCATCACCTGCAGAAAGTCTCTGTGCGGCAGGCATTTATCCAGAGCCAAAAACTTTGTTGCTTTTGGTAGCTCTTCTTTGGAGTTTGTCTAGGAAACAAATAGTGTTAACACAGTCGTTAGTATTTCTGTGCAATTTGACCATTCTAAACAAGTTATATAGAGATTGAAAACCATAATTTATACAGAAAAAGTCTTTCTGAAACAGAAAATCAGCATGGGATTCTAAGAAAGGGATGGAGGGACAAAGCAAAAGATAGACTTCACTGGAAGTCTAACAGGAAGCTGGATGCAGATAACAGCAAGATAAAGCTAGAGACACATTTCATCCTTAACCAAAGCAGCAGAGCACACCTAGCCTTGAAGCAAAAAGAAAATCTTACGAAAATCTTTAAACACAACTGGAAACAGACTTAAGGAGTTTAGAAGGTCTAGTCACATTTTTACAGCTAAATAACTTGCTAATAGGAATAGCATGTCATACCACTTTCAGGAATAACTCAAACCAAGAGAAGTTTCAACCTACAGGGGCTATTTTTTGACATTACTCAGGCCATGAGACAACTTCACCTGCCAAGCCTCACTACAGACATCCTCCCATCCCCAGTTAACCACTTTCTTCTTTTCAGTTGCTTTCCTATCACCTTGTTTTGAATCTGTCTCTTTCTCCAATCAAGTGGGAGAGTGCTTGCCTACAAACTTAAATTAAGAACTTTCAAGTGTAGTAACGTTAGCTATTTTGCTCTGTCCCTGAAGAGGATTATGTAGTTACACCACTGAATTATATACATCTCTTTAACCTACTTAAGCTAGCAGTCTTAACACCACTTAATGTTTTGCGGCTTAAGCTGAGTTTTAATAACGGAGCAAAAAACTTTAAGAAGTTGCTTTTCTACACATGGTTCCCTGCACTGGAATTATTTGGACACACAGATTCTTGATCCCCGCCCCCCTTACCTCATGTTGCATGAAAGCTGCAAATTTAACATGAAGATGTGCTGAGAACCAGTAGGTGGGTTTCAGATGCTGCAGCAGCTCTGAAGCAGCGGGGCTTCCTAATGTGTTGCTCTCCACTTCTTGACGGAAGAAGGATTTCATTTTAAGAAGCTGTTTCTTGTTTCCATAGTGATATATGCTCCTTGGCCAGTCATGCGACATAAATATATCAATTGGACGCTTTAACTGTCGAGCCAAAATGCATATGGTATAAATAAAACATGTATGATAACGAAGTTTTGAAATTACACAGCACAAGGTGGAACATGTGGAACACATTCCACCTCAGGTCAATAGAGAGTTAGCTGTGACCAACCTCAAACATTTACCAGCTCAAAGCAAGTAAGTATACCACTGAGCCCCATCTTTCAGGAGGCTTTGACGTTGTTCAGGGAGTCTAGTCTCCAGGGTTTGTACTACACTCTCCTGGGACAATCAGCTGTGTTTTACACATACTGCCTTAGAAGAGAGATCACACCCTCACTAGTGAGTGTCAGGCACTCAGAAGAAGACTCTTAAAAGTTACAGCTATAGATCCACAATCAAAAGCACCTCCTTCCTCATGGATTTTTTAAAAGCTTTGTTTAAAAGGGATAATGGTCAAGCATGATTTTCCTCCTCAAAGGAAGCACCCCTCAGAAGTCTAATCAATGTCTTAATGTCTCGGTTTGATATTCAGGATATTTCCATGAGCTGTATCAGAACACACTTCTAAAGGAAACCCAAGTCCAACTAATAAGAAACTTGAGGTGAAACGTGTCAAACTGTCAACAATGACAGCAAACCTTGGTCCTGTGTTCAGCATCCCTATATCTACTGAACACTTCAGCATGCAACTCCAACCTGAATAGTCACTCACAAGGTGCTAAAAAATACCTATTCACACAACCTCAGCCAAACCGAGTAGCCCTTGTGACAAAGCAGGGAGTATGCAATGGCTCAAAAATAAAGCTAATCTGTCCTTTGAATTTCTTGCCCTGCAGTCAACAATACTTCAGCCACAGGAATCTGAGGACAGCTTATTCAGCTGGTTCAATTTTGATTAGTTAACTCTGCACACAGACAGCCTACATGTTAGACAAGGTAGTATCCATCTTCCAAAAGCTAACATAAAGCTAGAAAAGAGGTGTATAGCCAGAGTATCTTCCTTTCTGTGACTTTTATCCAAATAAAAAAATAAAACCACACCAGAAAACTACTCCTGCCTGTGCCTGAATCAGATCAATCTGCATTGCTAGGCAAAGCATTAGAGGATATATTCAGCAGGAACAACAGAGGAATGACACTCAAGATAAAATGGCCAGGTGAGCTGGGACTTGCTGGTAAAATTAGCTATCCAATAGGATACTTGCTCAGAGTAGCTTTAACATCTTACTTCTAAATTAATGAAAACTATTTACCACTCTTTATAAAAGTAGATTTTTCGCTAACCTGCTTGAGTTTGAAGACTTCAATATTCCTCACATGATAAGCGCTTCTAATTGTTTGCTGGTTGTATGGTGGACACTCAAAGTGGCCTGAAACAATGAAAAAAAAGAATGAAGAATGAAGAATGAAACAATGAACAAAAAAGAAGAGTGGTTGCTTGAATCAATAATTCCCTCCTAACTTTCTTCACAAGGTAGCTTCTTGGGGGCACACAGACACCTACAGCAATCCCAAATACAAGGTTGCCAATAACCAAAGGAGATACTGTACTTCCTTTACATGAGGCTTACACCAACAAGCTGCCAACTTTTTACATGTGAAGCAAATATGTTGTAAAAACACGTGTACAATAATGAGCAGTTCTTCCATTCAGTGTCTTAATTTCATAAATATAGAGAATACAGTAATTTGGTTGTGGAAACAAAAACCAGGAGTTTAACTCCAATACTTAAAACTCAGGACCTGTCTGAAACACTTAACTTTGGGCAGAAAGATTTATGTGCTTAATTGCCAAATAAAGTTTTGTACCTCCCTGGTGAGATAACATCCCTCATTACTTCCCCACACCCCCTACCTCACAGTTAGCTGCACAGCCATGTGCAATAACATAGAGAGAGAGCTGTTTGCTGCGCAGCCATGAAGCATAGGTATGTGCTCATGGCTACCCAGGCAAACACGTTGGCACAGCCAAAGAATGGAAGGTAGATGGGAACAAGCAAAAGTTGGGCACCGACATAGCGAGAGCACAGAGCAAGCCTCTGTGAGTAGTCGGTGACCAGAACATAAGTTAGGATATAACAACTCAGAGGTATAAACTAAAAGATCACGAAGCACTGCCTGAGATCTGACTCGTGACTGGGGCCACCGAAGCTGTGATTTTTTTGTGTTTCAAGAGTGCTGCCACCAACCATGACACTACAGCTTAACAGATTCAGCAGCAGCTTAAACATGCCTTTAACTGCCCACAGGTACCACAGATTCTGGAAGCACAAACGGGTACCCTGTCAAAACGGACGTGGTCTCCAACTTTACCTTGGGATAAGAAACTTGAATGTCTACCAGAGCTCCTACATACTCTTAACAATGAACAGAAAAATTACATTTTTAGCAGTTAGCATTATTGTCAAAAAAAGTTTTATCTCCCACATGCATATTCAGGCCTACAAACTGTATGCTTGCTAACAACAAATTTAGTTAGCTTTGATAGGTATTAGAATCAGGTGTTCTAGGAAAGTGGTTCAGTCCTTTGCGGCTTGAAAGACATCTGCAAAGCTTCTCTGAAGCAGTATGTTACTAGAAATAATATAACTGTACAGTAATCACAAGTAAGAGACCACTATTTCATGTGTTGAGGTGATCAGAAAGACTGAAGTATCCTCTATTTGCTGACACAAGTATCATCTGTGACCAGATTTCTGTCTGCTGATGGAGAGAGGAAGGAAGAACTTCCATGGAAGAACTCTTGAATACAGAAGCATATAACCAGGAGGAACCGATCCTGAGATGTGCTGACACTAAACCTCAGCTCAAGACAATACATTTGTACAGTATCACTAAACTGACTGCTTCACACAAGAAAAACTAAACGCTCTTGCGCTGTATGCTGAAAGGACGCTAGCATGGAAAAATCAAGACTGTTCAAAAAAAACAACGTTCAGAAGTGCACTGCTTCCTGCTGTGGTCGCCAGGCAGCTACCGACTCATCTACCGCCTCCAGAGAAACCCGCGCGCTGAGCCAAGAGAGGCTTCCAGCACAAGCGTCGGTGCAGAGAAGAGGAGGCACAGCCAGACCCTCCCCGCGACAACTCTGGCCCAGCGCTCCCCGGCCCGCTCC